ATATTATAATTATATTATATAATTAAATTATATTATTTATATAATGATATTAATTAATATAATATTAATAAATATAGTATTGGAGGTCAAAATATACACTAGTAAGGAAACCAATTAAAACACATTGACAGGCACACTTTATATTAATGTATTATTTGAACTTCCTTGATTCTTGATTTTTAATTTTGAATACACCTCCTGCTATTGGAAAACAAAAGTCACACACTGAGAAACATGCCTGATATTAATGAATTAGTTTAATACATAAAGAAACAAAATCTCAAGAAACAAAAAAACGTGCCGTTATATTACACCTTCTCGATTCATACAGCCACTAGTATTGAAAGTTACGATTACAATCGGAAATACAAATACGCCCGACAACATTGAAAGAATCGAAACGAAGTTCGAAGTGGATCGAGCCATTGCGAGGCACCGCCTGGTTAATTGCTCGCCGTTAGATTATCAATTTGCTTAACAATTCCGATCCCGGTGCGAAAGCCTCTCTCAATTACCAGCTCCTATAAGGGACAATTAAGGTACCCAATATAAACGGTGTAACATCGATTAATAACACTCGTTCCACGCGGTGGTGGAAAAACCAGCGAGATAATGAAATTCATTCGCGATGGGAAGACTTGGCCGAAGAAAACGTCGCCGCGGCTGCGAGAACGTGAATGGCGTCTAATTAATTCGCGAAATGACGGTTTTAAGCGACGGAGGATTCCCTCCGGCGTTTTCAACCGGTTGCACCGTCGCTTCCGCGTTTCACCGCCATTCTTTGGGCCCGGCCGATCTTCGACGATGAATAATGTAAAGGGGCTAGATGGAATTATGTAGCACGGTGGTGGTGCACGTGCGCGCTCGGCTTCATTTCGAGACCGTTCCGCCGCGCGGAATTCTAATTAACATTTTCCAAGTTTCGCGGTTACCCCCTTTGAGGTGTCAAAGAAACGACGATTTGCCTTGTTGCCGACTAAATTGAGCGTACGCGCGAACCGTTTGTTCCGTGGTACGGATGAAATCGTTGGTGAAACATCGGACGACATGCTGTACACGCAGTCTGAACTGTATCGTTGCGCCCAAGAAATAACGAGTCTGGCGTTATTCTGCGAGGATTGAGTCGTTGTCCCCTTCAAAATGATTGACTTGAGAAGGTACACGTTACCATCACTTCTCGAAACGATTCTTTTACTGAAACTGTTTTCAATCGATTAGTTATGGCCGCGTGGATAACTGTACACAGTTTTCTCGAGGTAGCTGTTGATTTAAAAATTACACCTACTCGAATCCGGGGATTCTCAGAAATGTTTTTGACTTTAAAAATTTATTTACTTCACACAACGCGACACTGAAGCACGCTTTTATTGTGTTTTCAAGAAATTTTTATTAAGGAAACGCTCTCGCACGTTAACAATTTTGAACGGCTGATCGACTGGGTCTAACTTCAATTACGATAGAAACGCGTAAATTTGTCTACCGCGAGCATCGAGTGCACGTGCTCGAACGTTAGAATATTCCACGTGACAGATTGTTACAGCACGTGCGTCGCCACCGCATTTCGTGCGCAACGTGACTCTTCCCCGGGCGAGATCGAGGACTTCGTTGTCACCGAAGGGGAAATGGCACATTCGTCGTCAGACAAACCTCACACAATCCATTTCGAATTATAAATGCGTCACACTGTACACCCTATTGAACTATTTCCAGACAAACGATCTGCAGTGACTTGTCAAGTGAACGAACAAATGTTTGTTAAAAATACTATATTTTAACTACACGCTTCGAATGTTATTACTGTAACTGAACTGTTTTATTTTGCAACACAATTCTAGCAGTGTTTGATAAAAACATGGTTGAGTGAAAAATAGATCAAACAATCAATAAATGAGCAAATAGGTATGAATAAACGACGAAAAAGTGTAAAATTTCTTGAATCTTTTGTCGTTTAACTAAATGTTCAAAATATGTATAATAAAAAGAAGAAAGTTCATGGTGGATTTAGTCATGAAATATTTTCTTCGATGTTTTCAGAAGCGAGAAGAAATATTGGTGTTAAAATATTTAAAATATCGTTGAATGATGTTACACGTTTGCAAAATTGGATAGTTGACGTGCAACGATATATTAATATTTGGAAATATTCACGAGCTTGACTTCGTACTTGAAATCAGAGTATTCGTATTTGTGTCTCATTCGTTCGTTCACCGGACCAGGTCACTACCCCACAACGTCTCTCTCCCCCCTCGCGTCGTGAATTTAATCCAAACTTCGCATCCGCGGAATTTCGAACGATCGAACCGAGAGTTTCTCGAAGAACTTGCAGCCGGGACGCGAAGACGCGGCAACTTTCTTTAAACACTTTCCTTTCGAGGGCCTCGATGGGGTTTCCGCGAACTTAACCAGAGGTGCCGATGAAAACACGCCTCGAGCTTAACCATCTCGGGCAACGAGCTTATCTATTTGCGAAGGTGCGCGAAAGTTATAGCGTGCAAGCCGATTAGAACCCACGAACCCCGTCCTACCCCCCCCATCCTTTTACCACAGGGCGCCCGTCACCAACTCAAGACCAAACCGTCCTCTATCCGTCTACCAAACTGATTTCCAACAGAGATTTACCGAGAGCCCCGGAATTTCCGTGTTTCCTCCACTTTCAATTCGAGTCGACGCGCTGTTGCCACCAGGAGGTAACGAATCCTTGGAGAATGGAACACGTTCTGGATCGCGGTGGCTGGAAGCCAACCTGACCTTCTCTCT